AGACTTAAATTCCAAGTATTTCTTTACTGATATTATTACTGAGCAAATTTCTGAAACTGATTAGAAAGCAAAGAAATGTCCTTAGAGAGAAATATTTTACATGCTGATAAGGTCGCTGTTGTTTTGACCACGATATTCCTTCCTTTCTAAGGACACAGAAAAAAAAAAGTTCTGACCATTTTTTGTTTTAATTCAACAATGAAAAGTATCAAAACTTTATCAAAACAGAAAGGCTCCTAAATGAAGGAGGCGGTGCTGAAGGCTTCATGATGGGATTACAAGACGACCGTCCTGAACCTTTATCTGATTTAAAGTGAGCTCAAAAAGAGGCGCTTTAAAGAACCAGCAGATCGTTTGGGCTTTTTTTTGCAAAACTAAATATACGTGTTTCTAGTTTTGATTGATTATAATTTCTTTTTTAACCTTCCAGACACAGAGCACAGCACGTCAGACCTTCTGGATCCAGTATCTTCCCAGTTAAATGGTGCATGAGCAACATTCAAATGTTAATGCTTCTTTAAATAATGACCTTTCTTATAAGAAAAACAAAATAAACCTTTATAAATATGACCTGAGGCAGGATTGATAACTGGTCTTCACTACTTGCAGATAAGGTATGACTCAGCAAAAACAACAATCCTGAAACAATCTTACATTCCTTTAAATTTTATAAAATGAATTATGATTTTTAATTAAATATGTTTCCTTTTAACATCTACCACAACTTAACCCTGAAAGCTGACTTTTTAATTTTAACTTTATTATTTAACTAATTATGGTTGTTTTATCATTGTTCTGAACTTTCAGAAAACATAAACACAAATTTAAGAAAAATAATCAAGCTGATAAAAAAAATTTTTGATTAAAATTTATAAAAAAAAAAAAACATACAATAAAGCACCATCACTTCAGATATGCTGGTTTATACCTGAGCTGGACATGGTTATCGTTGGTCCACAGCGCCATCTAGTGTTTACCTGGAGTTTTGCACATATGCGCTGTGCTGCTGTTTAAAACTTCTGCTGTAAAAATTGCACATGAACGCCCACTCATGTCGTAGTATCTACTGGAAAGATTTTATGATACCCTACAGTAGTTGCCGAGATGAGGTCAACTATGACATTTCAACCTGGCGTACGGCAGAGAAATCATTCTGTATGGCGAATATGGTTAAGCATTCTCTCCTGTTGTGTTTGTAGTCTGCACAATGCTGTGGCATTCATTTTTTATATATATCACCATTTCAACTTGTGTTGTTCAAAATTACCATGATAGTTTTATTTTTATCAGATGCTCTCTAGCAGTCAGTTGATGCATTTGATGCTTCCTCCTCTTCCTGTAGCAGATGAACTAGGAAGTCTATTACTGTTTTGCCCAAACAGCAGGTCAGGATAATCTTTGGATTCAATTAGGGATGAAACAATTAATAGGATTAATCGCGATTAATTGATTATTGAAATAATAGTCAACTAATTTAGTAATTGATTAAATGTTAACTGGAGTATAACAACTCTAAAACATACCTTTAGCTGACAGAGCAATCCACTTAGCAAAGTAATTATATAAAAATAGTAAAGAAAATGTGTAAATATTTTCCATTTAAGAGAAAAAAACTTTTTCGTCTGTCAATCTGCTGTATCCAGAACTCCTCAAGTGAAAGTTTCATTTTCATCTGGTTTCATTTTGTAAAAACACTTCTTTAAGAAACATTTGGCTATCTGATTATTAATCGAGTAATCAAAAAAATACATTGACAGATTAATCGATTAGCAAAATAACCCTTAGTTGCAGCCCTAAATCCATGACGTTTCTCTTATCTACCACAACAAAAGCACTTTAACAAAATGCACCAGTAATTTCCACTTTACAAGTGGAAAGGATCATCTTCACCAGCATCAGACACAGGGGGGGAAATGGCTGAAAATAAGAATCTGGCACATTTGATACCAGTGATTAAAAATATGTAAAAGCAAAATAAGTCAGTACAGAGAAATACAGTACATCAGATGACAAACAAATGGATTTAAACATTTAAGCATAAAAAAAAAAAACTGTTTATCTGGATCATTCCCATGCACTCTGTAAATAAAAATGCTCCATTAAATGTGATCTATTTTATCAGTAAACTTTAGTGTGTTACATTCTTTAAAAGCCAAACATGTCGCCTAATCCTTTTCAACATGTGATTTTACCACAGTGAGGTTGACTGAACCTATTTTTATATTTGCACAGCTGTCTTCATGTCATGCTACAGTAACTATTGTCTGTTTGAGTTTTGGACTTTGATGGTAAATGCAAAACTTCAGTCTTCTTCACAAAGTTTGAATTTGGAACTGGATTGTTGTCTTTTCATATATATATATATATATATATATATATATATATATATATATATAATAATAATACATTTTATTTAAAAAGGCGCCTTTCTGGACACTCAAGGTCACCGTACAAAACAAAAAGTGTCAGAAAAAATAAAAATTATAATGATAAAAACATTTAAAAACATTTAAAAATACAGAGGCTGTGACAGTGAAATTGATATTTTTAAAGAGAATAAGCAATCTTGAACAGATGGGTTTTGAGTTGTATTTTAAAATGGAGAATTGAGTCCGTATTTCGAAGTTGGGGTGGTAGAGAGTTCCAGAGGCGGGGGGCAGAGCGGCTGAATATATATGAAAAGACAATATGAAAAGACAACAATCCAGTTCCAAATATATTATATATATATTATATATATATATATATATATATTATATATATATTATATATATATATATATATATATATATATATATATATGTTTGTTTTTTATTTATTTTTTTTAGTAAAAAATAGCCTCATCTGTTACAAATGACAATGTGGTTAATAGTGTATATTAAGCTGCCATTTAAAAAAATAACAAAGATTAAAGAGAAAACATGATTACAAAGCATTGGCCTATCAACAGAACGATATTTACCAATATTTTTGATGAATGTTCCCATTATAGTTATTTGGAGTAATTTCAAAAAGATAAAAACTTGCTCATTTTGCTTTACAACAACCAACCGTTTCATTAACTGAATAATACCAATAATGTGGCTGTCTATTTGCAAATAATGAACAGTTTAGCAAAGCCTGATTTACTTTTAAAAACGCCTCAGAAAAGACTTTAAATAGAAAATCTTAAACTCTATTTTAATATAGATAATAAAACTAAAACAGGGCGGTTAGATTACAGATTGTTAGCATGACAGGTGTTATGATGGGAAAGTATTTAAATAGTAAATAAAACACACACAATGCTCTAATTATATCTAAAAACTGAATGTAGAGACTTCTGGTTATGGATTTTATGTTTTACTTTTCTTTTTATGACAACATCTAATGTTGCTGAAGGCGCGCGGAGTGTGACCTTCCACGGTTAACAAGCTAACGTCGTTAGGCATCCAACCTACGGTTACTTCAAATATTGTCTATTTAACCCAGAAGTTAACTTTTAGTTAATTAATCAGTCCCCGAGCTGAAACACGTTCAGCTGTAATTATGCACCAAACTGAAAAAAGTCAAGTTAGAAGGAAACAATGAAGGAAACAATTTCTAGTTAGCGTATCTTACCTGTTAGCTTAGCATACCAGCTAGTGGAGCTCAAAGATGTCTTCCTGCTGCATTGGGTTTTTTTTTTTTGTTTTTTTGTTTTTTTTTCCCGCAAATGTAGTTTTACTCCATCAGATAATTACTGCCTGTGTTAAAGTAATAGCATTAAGTATAGTATATTTTCAGTAAAACCAACATTTATGTAAAATAAAATACAATGGCATGCAACTTTATTTGAACGCCTCAGACTTTTCTGTAGTTTTAGAAAAGTGTATCACTTTTGAGATTGTTATTTAAATATACATTTTTACTTTTTTTTTCTTTTTTGTTTCTTTAAAAAAAATACAGAAGTCTAAAAGGAGTGGCCTGCAACACCAACAGTAAAATCATACATTTTTATACACATTTTCTTTGAAATTACACAGCACTGTCCATCTAACATTCTGAGAAAATTCATCAAAAATAAGTTGTGCCATTGCAGTAAATTACACTTAGTGACTTTTCCAAATCATGATATATATTCTCAAAGGTAGAAGTCTCTGAAAGTCTGTCTTACTGCACTTGCAGATTATTGCACTTATTTTATTAGAATTTTGTTAAAATAATATTAATAATCAGACATTCAGCCCTTGCTTTAATTAATATCAAAACATCAACTTTTTTGCTGGATCAGAGAATTGGTTATTTTTACATCGGGATTTTCCTTCAGGCTTGCCCCCAACCAGCTTCTGTCAACAGCTGAAAACACTCATTCCCACAGCAAAATGCTGCTGCTTCCATGCTACCTTCCCATATCCCTGTTACCTTCCACTAATAGCTCTTCTTCAGCTGAGAAGAGCCAAAAAGTGGCTTTGCTATGGCAGGATGCATTTAAATTGTTAGGATAATTATCATTAAGATGTTAGTTTATTACACCCCGGTGTGGGCTGCCTGTTGCGCGTCAGAAATTATATATTATTCTAATTAAGACAGTTCCTCTGATTTATAATCTTCATTTTGTACGTGGCAAAGATTTTGAAATTAGATGAGAGCTGTGTCTTCAGCTAAGAACGAAGTGTGATATTTTGATAAGGCTGGAGCCATGGATGTCTAATCATCTACTAAAGTGTATGATGTAAAATAAGATGATGTGGCAGACTGGAGATGTATAAAATGCCTTTTTATCTATTAAACGGGGCCACTTCCTGAGAGGTGAGCAGCTGCCTTCTGTACATCTAAGCAATTTCTCTGATCTGAGTAAGATTACAAGTACTAACAAAATCTGTCGTCATATCTAGTGGTTATTTAATACATATAAGGGATGAAGTGTTATCTAAAGAGTTTATCCCGAGCGATCTCTTTTCAGGAAAAAGAACCAGAAAGATAGAGCCTCAGGGTGCATACACAGAGCCTATTTTTAACAGTATAAAGACCAAAATGAGTCCAGAACTGTATTTTATTTATTTGTAGAATATGAACAGATTTCAAATTATACAGCAAAAAATGGGCATAAGCAGTGATTATTTGAATAAAAATAAAAAGAAGTGCACCAAGTATTTGAAAAGCATCAACGAGCCGTACAGATTTTATGGGATGATCATGACAAATTAGCAGTAGCTTTAGTAGAGGCACCTGCATATCAGCAACCATACAGTTATTGCTGTGGATTAAAATAATAAGATTTTATTTGTAGCATCAACTCAGCTGTCTCTAGATAAGTTATGTTGGCAGTGGCTTTACACCGTTACTCCTAGGTGTGACGGAGGAAGGAAATGATATGAAACTTTCAGGACCAGAAGAGAAATAAAAGGAATTTTAAAAACTGACATTAGCTAACCATAAAGATCTAAGAGAAGTGCTCCCCTGTCTGATTGTCGCTCCTTTTTCCAATGTGCTTCTTTACAACAAGGATGTCGCTACAACGTATGGAAAAATATCAGTGGAGCAAGTGTGTCTGGGCTAATGCATGTCACAGTGTGTGAAAAGGCAGCACAGCACGAAGTCTTCACCACCCACTTCCCCTCTAACAGAGGAGGGGGGCCGCAGAGCTTCGAATTAAAATCTTATTTCATCGTTCAAGCATCGCCCAGTTTTCTTCACTAGCACCTCCATATCCTCGATAACCAAGCGCCCACATTGAGAGTCAGCGAAATACCATCCAACCTGACGGCTGCTTTTACTTTCCTGAGCATCATGTCTAAATACGACAGCTGCAATTTATCTGCTTATTTTACTTTTCTTTGTTAGTTTTTTTTTTTTTTTTTTTTTTTGCATAATGTCTTTCGTTGGAAGCCACGTTGTGTTTTTCTTTGTCCTTTCGGTAGTTTGGATGGAAGTCTACAAACGTAAAAAAAAAAAAAGGAAAGAAAATAAATAATGTTTCAGCAGTTCAGGCTGACAAAAGATAGGGAGCGGAACAGCACATCCTTCAGTCCTGCATTAGCATTTCCCTCCAGTTGAAACTGTGGTTGGGTCCATGTGTCAGAGGCAAGATGGGTGGGTCGACCAGCTGCCACACGCCTGTCTCTCCCATTTCTTCACAAGCACAAAAACCCAAGTAAGGAATCTGCAAGCAGAAGAAGACAGATGTGCAAATTGTGAATGAGGAACTGGAAGGGAGGGATGGGAGAGAAGCATCTGAGATAAAGTAGAACTGACCTTTCGGACAACTTGGATAAAGTCCTTGGAGTTTTGGGGGCTGAGGCCCTGTAATTGGCGGGTGCAGGCCTCCAGGGAGGAAGCATGGGCCACAATAAGGACTGTGTTTCCTGTGTGAAAGAGGTGAGGAGGAGACACATTCCATAGATGCCGTTAGTGTTCTGCACCATATGGACACGCTGTTAATGCTATCCACACCCTTTGAGCTTTTTCATATGTTCTCCTCTTAAAACAACAAACCTCTATTGAATTTAGATACATTAAATAAATAGTGCATCAGTCTAAAATAAAAAAGTTTCTCAAAAATGATCTTAACAATAAAAAGTGGACATTAAAACTTTATTTTGCTCTGGACTTGATCAGTACATATTGATCTTAATTTGAGGCATTTGTCCCACTGCAAGAAAAACTATGGTTGGAAACTGAATTGTACAGAGGAAATCGGTAGAAGCATAATCCCAAATGAAATGAATCAGTTTGAAAGTGAATTTCACAAAATCTGAACTATATTTAAAATAGTTAAACTGAATAAAAATCTATTTAAGGAGTATTTACCCCTCTATCTGCTGAGAAACAGTATACTTGGGTGTCTTTTAGTGCTGTCTACATGTACTAGGGTTTATTTTAAAAATTTAAAAAGGAAATTGTGTCTAAAACTGCCAGTTTGGTGCCCTCCTCAGTTTAAAAAAGGGTTACTGCATATGATTTTTGCCATTGGCTGAGGCCAAGATGTGGTTATTAGCAGCTGCGGTTTACATAGGGACTGACAATAAATTGAATGATTTTATTAAAATGGGAAAATAAAAAGTAAATCAAGGTTTTCTCCATTTTAAAGGTTAATAAAAAAAATAACTCTATTAAAAACTGGATAACAAGTCTGAATTATTTGTCCAGTCTGATTTAACATTAGCTGTGTGTCAGTTAGTCACATGACCAAAAAAAAACTTTTAGAGAAAAATATTAATTTTGAAACTAAAAAGTTATATACTACAACAAAAAAAATCAAAAACGCATCAAAACTGAGTAACAAGCGTGTTTGCGAAATGCAGCCGCATAGTTTCACCATATGTACAATGTCAATCAGTGATCGATTACTCTGGTCTTTCTCAAGGAAACAGATGTGTGGCAAGAAACAAATCTGAATTTTAGAATTGAAATTGAATTTTACAAATAAAAGTGAAATTATTTAAACTGAAATGAAGCTTAAGTGAAAATTCAATCTAAAAGAGTGTTATCAGCTTCACCTGAACCACCTGCAATGTCCCTCGTTCATCTCCAGCCAATCAACTCAAGGCCACACCTTCTCCTCATTTTCTAAGAGCTGCATCATTTAGCTCCTGCTTCAGCTTCTCTTTCCTGCATGCAAGCGAACTTTCACCCACCTCCCCTCCATCTTCTCCCTCATTCTCAGTCCCACTCGCCCTCTGGCTTTTTCCTCCACCAGTGTAAGTGTATGTTGATTCACAGCATCAAAGCCTTCTGCCGGGGCCTGTGTGCCAAAGAACTTATTTATCTCATTATCTGCTTCTATCTCCTTTAACCCCAGTCGGCCTCAGCAGATGGTTGCTCACACAGAACCTGGTTCTTCTGGAAGTTTCTTCCTATTAAAAGGGAATTTTTCCTCTCCACTGTTGCTACATGCCTGCTCAGGGCGAGGGAGTCAATGAGTCCTCAAAATCGGCTAGTTTTCCTTAGATAGAATCATTTTGAATATGATTGGATTACCTCTAATAAATAAATTGAATATTTTTCTAACTGCAGCTTTTTTCTGTGCGAGTCTCTCCAGGTTGAAATTCACTTTCAAACCAATACATTTTAAATTGTGACTCATTCTGGGCAATTCAAATTCAGCTCAGAATAGCACTAATTTCTGCCCATAACGAACCTCTGTGTTATTTGCAGCATTTAACAGGTTTTCCTTATGATTGCCCTGCTTTTAAATCCACCCATCTTTCCATTACTCTGCCCTGCATCCATGCTGCCACTCCTTAGTTATCATGCATTGAAGGTGAAGACCAGTGTAAGTATTATAGTATATAAAGTACTTGGTTTTGGTCTACAGTATAAAATCCCTACAAAAAAAAAAAAAATTAACATTTTAAGAAGCTTACCAAGACTTTTGCACTCTGCCAGGATTTCTCGGGTCACTTGGAAGCTCCTGCTGATGTACGTATCGTAGGACTCCGACACTGTCAGTTTGCTTACAGGAATATGAGGTCTGCAAAAAGAAAAAAAAAATTCAATATCAAAGATTTAACTAAACCAAACAGCGCCAACATCTGTGCCGCTTTGCACCTGTACGTTGTGTCAACACTCAGGTTAGCGGCACCCAGATCAACCGGTGGGATCCAGGCGGGGAGGCAAGTTCCCGGAACCCATTTGGTCCATTCAAACAAACCGGGCTCCACGCGGATTTTCGTCTTGGCCTCCTGCTGCAGACCTGAAATGGATCAGACCAGAAGGGGCGGATGTAAGGCAGAGAGGTTTGCTTTGCTTTTAAACCCATTTTGACACCCTTCCTAAAATAAAAGGGGCGTTCAATAAGTAATGCCCCTGATCCACTTCCGGTTGTTTGATCTAGCTGAAATTTTCCATGTGCAATTACGTACATCTCTATAGATTAAGTGGAAAATTACTGCTATAAACTAATTGTGGTTTCATATTTACAGATATTTGAAGTTTGTAAAGTCTGAAATGAAGCCTGTTGAGTGTAAAACATTTTACAAGGTCATATGATGGGGCATAAAATCAAAAGTCTCCCATGGTGTGCTCCCTTTCAAATACAAAAACCGAATCACTGCTCGACACTCAACAGGCTCCATTTCAGACTTACCTCAGTTCAAAAACCTGTAAATCAGAAACCACAGTTAGTCCAGAGCAGTAATCTGACATTTAATCTATAGAGATATAAATAAATGTGCGTGCAAACTTTCAGCTAGATCAAACACCTGGAAGTGGGTCAGAGGCATTAATTCTTGAATGTCCCTTGTAAGAGCCTGAAGAATAAAGGTTTTAGACCAAATACTGAAACTCTCACATGAACTTAATCCAAGAGAAGCATGTAGCCCCTATGAGACGCTAGTCTGAGGTCGGTTCACTGACAAGGTGAACCAGGACGAGCTCCTACCTAGGAGGATGTTCTGGGCCGTCTGGATGCAGCGAAGAGAAGGAGAGCAGTAAACAAAGTCTATCGCTGTGTTGCTTTCTAACAAAGCTTCACCTAAAAAGAGCCAAAGCCATTCATTACAAAACAAACTCAACACAAAAGAACCTTGAATGTGTGAAAAACTGGTGATTAAAACACACAGACCGACTAGACGGGCCTGGGTGGAGCCAAACACAGTAATCGGACAATCTTTTTCATAGTCTCTATGGACTCCGCTCCTGGTGGGCAGGCTGCACGGCATGTTGAGATTGGAACGGATGTATCCGCCTGCGCAGCACAAAGTAAAGTCTTAGAGGAGAAGAAAAACCCAGCGTTTGAACAATCATCTATCAAGTCTCCACCTTTGGAATCGAAGCACTGGGTGACCCAGTGTTTGCCGAACACCACGTCCATCCTCTCCCCATGCCGACACACAAACAGCCTCATCTTGGACGAGGAGGAATGAGCAGAAGGCCTCGACACCTGAGGGGGAAACGGCTTCAGGACGTTATTTTCCTCACACTTTTCTTTGGTGTTTACATTTTGTTCACATGACAAACTGTAATGTACTTCTATGAGGTTTTTGTGACAGACTGAGAATAATTCTAACATGAAGGACAAAATGTTTAATAAAACACAAAAATCAGCCCACTTTACTTCAATCACCTCTATATAAAATGTTTCATCGTTCCATTCTGATTCTGATCACATTTTTAACTTCTTGCAAAATTTAATCTATTTTTATTGTTTTGTTTTGTTTTTTATGAAGTTTCAGATTAATTAATGTTAATCATTGTGTTTGATTGGTATATAATATTGCATCATCCTGATCCCAGATTTTCAGATATTGTTGGTTTCTTACCCTGACTGACTTGGAGATATTAGGAAAAGTGGTATTGTCATAAATGCAATGACAATGTGGTACTGTTTATGACATCAATAATGCTTTTCAAGAAATTTAAGGAGTTCCTAATTTGAATTTTGAGTTTTTCATATTAAAACATGTGTCTTGCTGTTGGGCTTAACCTGACAGACAGTCCGGAGTGTAAAAGTAGCCTGGTCTTTTTCTTTTTGTTTAAACCGGAAAAGCCCAGAAGCACGATCTTGGTCCTCCCCGACTGATGCCAACCCTGTGGTTGCTAACATTAGCCTGCCTTGATATCACCATTATCGTATCTATTCTACCAATCAGAGACTCACCTGCAAGCAGTAGGTAAATGTTGCTGCTTGCTTATTGTGTAAGAGCCCGGAAAGGATGGTAAACAAAACATGGCTAACTGCTAATGCTGCTAAAGCAACATTCAAATGAACAGGCATAGTCAGATTCACAGCAGATTATGCTCTGTACAGCTGAATTTATCTCCACCAACTCCTCGCAGCGGCAGCATTAATATGTGCCCACCATTAAAGATGTTTTTCTTTATTGTTATTTCTGACGGTCCAAATATATTCGCATGAGCACAGAATATCTCTCCACTGTCTGTCTTTGTACCAACGCCTCCTTTGTGGCCACTTTGACTGTAGATATTTTTGCACATGAGTTTGCACCTCATTTGCAAAAGTACTAAAAAGGGACAGAAAAACTCTGTCACAGTTCTTGAAATCTTAAGTCTAAGTCAAGTCCTGAGTGAGGCAGCAGTCAAAATGCAAATCATTTTTAGAGCGCAAGACCCATATACCGGCTGCCGCAGGTTCGAGTCCCGGTCCCGATGACTTTTGCCGAATGCCTGTCCCCTCTCTTGTAGGGGGAGTGTCAGCCTAGTGGGCATAGAGCTTCAAATCCTCAAGTTCTGAGTTCGAGCCCCACCCCCACAGACTGCCACTCTGGCTCTCTGAGCAAAGACCCTTAACCCCACACTGCTCCTACTTGTACTTGTGACAGAATAATGACAAAAAAAAGCTGGAAAAAAGAAAGAAAAAACACTTTCCTGTCTATATACTTTCAAAAATAACAAAATAAAGGCCACTAGAGCCTAAGAATAAATAAAAACAAAAACGAAAAATCATTTTTAAGTCTTTAATGGCCTTTCATGAGAATTTTGCTGAATGTTTTGTATAGAAATCTGACTGTAATATCCACAGAATTATCCTTTTCTGAAACTGATAAATCAGATAAATCCAACTAAAAAATATTATGCATACTTTTAAGACTAATGCATCAGATTCTTTTTGAAAAGTACTTTCCTACAGTATTTAAAGCACTAAATAATTTTCGAGTCACAATCCCCCTACAGGACCTTTTAAAAATTGCACTGTTGTAAACACTGCCACTCACTGTGAGCTTCTCAGCACCTCACAGCTACAGCGCTCCACTCGAAGAACAACAAGACCAAATGTCTGAAGTAGTGGCTAATATTTGAAATGATCTAATGTAATCTAGCATACTGGATCTCCAGTAAACCATTTAGCTGCTCTCATTAGGGAATTCAGCCTCTCCATGTTTTATAGTAGCTGCGAATGACATCACTGTATGTTCCCAAATGTTTCCTCATATCTGATAAACTAGCTCACTGTGTGATACTATCTGCAAACGTTCAGTCAGTTACATTTGATTAACATGATTCTTTCACTGGATTTCTTTGCCCTTTAAATTAATTCGCAGATGAGATGATTGAAATGAAAGCTGTTTTTCAAAAGCAATACATTTGTATTTTGTATTTTGAAACTATAGTAAGAAAAAAATTTAATTAACAAGATTTGGTAAATTAGATTTTGAAGCCATATTGCCCAGCCTTAGTCGCATGGCGATGATCCTCCAAAGTACTTAGTGGATTTTATCCTTTCTCTTTTTCTCATTTCTCTTTTAATGTTATTGTCACCAATGAATGGAAATGAGATGGTGGATCCACGGAGACATTTTTTTCTTCATAAATAAAGGAATAAATAAAAACATGCTGTGGCCTATGAAGAAAGTCGATTCAATGCGCCAAATCTAAAGTTTGGTGAAAGAAAAAAAAATCAGTTTGATGGAGAAATGTGGCAAAAAAACTAGCATCCACAATTACACTGATTGTGTTGGTCTGTTACATAAAGTCCTAATAAAATTTGCTCTGTGGTTTTAATGAGTAATATCGAGGAAGAAGTTAAAGGAGGGTTTATCCTCTCAGGCAGACTTTCCCTCCTTTAGCTCCTCACTGAAGTTGGCAGCTCTGTTCCTAAAGCAGGCAGCGAGGAGATAAAGACAGCTTTATTCAAACAAACCTGTAAAGGAGGACAGAGTCCAGCGAAACTGGAGGAATCCATAAGAGTGTCGAGCAGACTGTCATTCAGCTGTCCGTCAAATAAAAGCCCCCCCACAGGCCGGCCAGAGGTAGATGGAGAGGAACAGTTGAGGAAGGAGTGAGAGCTGTCAATCAGACACATGAAGTCACTCGGCTGGTTTACAGCGGGGATTAACTGAGCTTTTTTTCATCCTTACCCATGAACGACCCATGTGTCAGACTCGTCGGCATGGCTGATGTAGTTCTCAGGCAGCAGGCCGGACAGCCCCGTGCCCAGCGAGGTCCCAAACACCCAGCCCTCACTGGCAGTGCTCTGCTCCACTGGAGACATGAAGATGAAGTCCCCTTGCAGCAGCTCCAGCTCGTCGTCGTTCTGAGGCACGTACGGGTACATGACCTGAAGCGTCTGCAGGAGGAGAAGGAAGGTCACTGCTGGTGCTAGGCTGCTTCAGAGAAGCAGAAGAATCATGCGCCATTATTGTTGAAAGCAGAGAACGCGCGTTTTAAATGGGAATTTAAACTTTGAAATGAAACTTTGATTTTAAAAAAAGGCTTTTGAGAGTAACTTGACTGTTTTCTTAGATTTTGTTTTTTAAATACATTTCTTTAATGTATTTTTCATTCATTTAATTCTTTTAAATTAAAATTTTTCAGATTACATTTTTTCAAAAAATTATTTACAGATTACTTGTATTAAGATATGGCTTTTCAAAAAAGAATTTTCAAGGATTTCTTATAGATTTTATACTTTCACTGTCCCCCCCTTTTAAACTGAGTTATAATAATTGACTTATTTTCCTGATTACATTCTCTTCAGTTCGGGTGGCGGGCCTTTCTCTGGAGTGAGGAGCATTTCTATTGGTCTGCTGGACGTTAGCAACAATATTGTGTTTGTGCTGATGAAGATTCTCAGTCATCCAGGTCATAGTCATTCCGTAAAAGTTTAAAAACAATCCACTTGGTTTCCCCTCTGTGACTTTGGATAAAAATATTGTGTTTGCATTGGGCTTGAAGTGAAAATATTTAATGCATAAAACTCTATCTGATAACAGAAATTTTATGAAAAATAAATTAAAACATAAAGTAACTTTTGAGGGGAAAAAATGTATAAACATACATTTAAAAATATAATATGATGAAATTGGAAAGCCATTTTTGGTTAAAACATTTTTCAAAGTTTCATTTTTTCCAACTTTTATTTCAAAAAGGTGTTTTTCACTTGCAGCAATAATGAACATATTTCACTCCAAAGGGCTGCTGGTTTAGTGGGAGGGGCTTCCTACCTCGTGGTTAGCAAAGCGAATATCCCTGGAAAGGAGCACGGCCAGCCAATCGCAGCCTGCCGCCACGTCTATGCCTTTGGACAATTTCTCCAGAACTGGAAGGTGGCTGCTATGAAAGTGGTATGCCATGGTGACATGAAGCTGCTTCTTATGCGGCTCAACGTGGGCATCTATTATAAAAACAAGCAGCACATGTGCTCAGTGGGGGTCAACAGACACAGCGACGCATTATTCCAAACTGAAGGAACAAACCTGCTTTAGCTGCTGCCTCTGTTGCAAAGTCTGCAGCAAAACTCTTCAGAACCTCGGCCATCTGCTCCTCCACGAAAAGGCCGATGAAGCTTGAGGAGACGTAGAGCTCCAGGGGCAGTGGCATAGGGATGCGACCCTTCCACTTGGCCACAGTGGTCTGGAGGGCGTCAGTCAGAGCCTCCACCTTCTCATCAGCACACTGAGGAGAGCAGATGACAAGCGCTGATTACGGAGAAAGAAAACAGCCAGCAATGCTTTAAACTTTAATGTTTTAAGGGCACAAAGTTCATATGTTTTACTGGAATGTGGTGTCAGTCGCTGTGAGTATTAATCTGAACAGGAAGGACAACTTTTTACAGGCTTATCTGCAACATAAAGTTGTGAAAGTATGGATTTTGTTTGGTCTTTCCAGAGACAAACTATGCTGAAATGACTTAGAGACTGAATGGAGATACTCATTTAATCCAAGGTTTGAACTTTGACTAGGACATTCTAACAATCTAAACTGAAGCAGTGCTGCTAGTCCTGGTTCTCTTGCTGAGGAGCTAAATCAGGTGTGTTGAAAAGAGACACATAAAACATATTCTAGCTTTCATTCACTGGCTTCCTGTCAAATCCGGAAAGAATAAATTAAAAATATATAAATTCTTGGACTTTGGGTTCTTCAGATAAATCTATCGCTGTTGTTCTGATTATAACAAACCCAAAATGTTCTCAGGGGGCCCTTTTCTCCAAAAAAAAAACCCATTGTAATATAGAATTTTAAGTTTATTATAGTTTTTATTTAATCTAGATTATCTAAAAAAAGATCATATTTACAATAAACATGGACAAGATTTGTATAGGAAGATTTCTAAAACATTTAAGTCTATCATCTGTTGAGCATTTATGCCCTACAGATTATGAAAGTAGATCAGGTGGGTCCAAAGGGCAGCTCAGGGGACATTTTTGGCCCTTTGAGCGATTTTAGGTGGCGCTTATTAGAAATAAAAAAAATTGCCTGATTTAGGTTTGCCAGTTCAGGATGTTGGTGAAGATACAAGTCTGAAATAATACGGTAGGAAACAACAGAAAACAAAGATAGAGAGAAATAAAAAATAAATATAAATGTAAGGTGCAACACCTCATTGGGAAATTTATTCAGTCGTCTTTAGCTTTTATTTAAGTTTTATATCTATTTAGTTTTATTTAGTTATTTTATTTAGTTTTAGTTTTATTTAATTGCAAAAAGATGGAATTTGGCAGCGGGTGTAACGCCAAACTAATCCCGTTGGAAACACGTCTATTCAAATGTAAGTTCTGCTTGTTTGCTGATCTTCATCACACTTAAAGAAAAAGAAAGAATTAAAAAGGACGTAATAAATTCCTAAATGGAAGGTCCCCTTTGAAATATTTTTATGTGACTAGTTAGATTTATTTTAAAGATAATTGCATATGTTTGATGTTACGTTAGCCTGCCCCGAAGGTCTACAGCTATGCAGCCTCACTGTGTTGCCATAGGAACGACTGCTTTTCCATTCGCATCCCCCCCCCCCCCCCCCCGTGTACAATCCAGGCGCCTTCCACAGCTGTGAATGTGACTTTAAGGGTTAAGTTAAGGGTTAGTGGTTAGGGAGCGGTTTGGGATTGGGCCCATGAATGGATCCAGAATCCACAGTTTAATTGAGACAATAATATAGAATGTACTTAATATGGTTCTGTTTGTAAATATTAACTCTAGATAAACTCGTTCAGATGGAGAATGCTTTTGTGAGTTAATGGACTTCATGGAGCCAAGTTTTAACATTCCTCTGAGAGCAACAGGAGCCAGAAGCTGCTGTTTAATAGAGCTGCTAAGAGCATTAAGTCTCTCCCAGCACTGGTTGTTGGAAAACATTAAAACAGACGACTGCATTACGACTGCATCTTTTGTAAAAAAGACATTTTTAGCAATTAATCTTAAGGAAAGATTGTTTAATACAAGATGGCTGCTTTTCAAGGTTTTAACCTAAACCTGATTCAGCAAAGCTTAGCCACGTAACCTCTAGCTGTGAAAGAAAAACTCCACTCCAAGAAGCAGGACTCAAACACTTATATTTATTTGGAACCATTCCAGATGTTCTCTGGATTTTTAAAACCCTAGTGATGACAAAGGTCACCATACACACAAACCTTCAAATCAAAATGTTAAAAAGAGGATCTGGTTGTTATGAAGAGCTTAATTTTCTAATGAAGCAACATTTTATGGTAAACCACCAGTCTAACTATCACCTGCTAACGTTGGTGATTCTGAAAAATTATCTTTTTTCTACAGCTTGCAGGACGGATCTACCATAGATAGATCATAGAGGAGTTTTAAGGAGTATTCCACCTCCAGTTTGAATGTGTTTTTGTTATTACAACAGCAAGAAAATCTGTCTATTTCACCACACCTCATTTCTACGGAACAGAAATGTGTGTTCAAGCAAATGAAGACACAGATAAATTGTTTCAATAATGAGGAACTTGAGTTCTGAGGCTAAACTGAGGTTTTGAAAACCAAAACATAAAAAAAATGAGGGTAAGAGTCTATCACTTGCGTAATAGTGCACTGCTCGCATGTTTTCAGCAGATAAGAAAATCTATGCAGCGCAGAGAATAAAATCCAGCACTGTTAATTAAGTGTAAATGAATTGGACTAATAACATTATTTCTCTTTCATTTCAAATTTGTGTTTAATTCATTTTACGACTTAAAAGTAACAACGAAAATAGAAGAAACAAATGGGTCCAACGTACACGGAGCAAACTGTCATCCCCCCTTAATTCTGTAATATAATATTGAGAAACAGAGCACAGGTTTTGCTTTCCATACCACATTAAATATAATAATAATTATACTAATGAACAGGGAATACATTCATGTTTATGAGAACTTATAGCATCTCATCCTGCTGGATGCCCCAGCTGGCTTTAATGAATAAACAAAATGTAGCTGCTCAGGGTATGACCAGGCTACTCTGCAATACCAGTTTCATATATTACCATCAAATAAAATATTTACTAGTGTTGCACCAATGCCATTTTTTGGCTGTGCAGTATCGGCCGATATCGATACCATCTGTTTAAAAGTTGCTGCCTACCTTTGTGAAGCAGGAAAAAGACAAATTCAAAGTGAATCCAGTAGAACTTTTTAAGTGCCTACCTGGAATGAGTGACAATAGTTGAATAAACTTTTGGCTCTCAAAATGGTATCGCTGCCCTATTTGTTGGTATTCACTGATACCGATACCACAGTTTTAGTAGAGTATAGGTGCCCTGCCGGATACTGATATCGGTGCAACACTATTATTTACCAATCTAGGCTTCCAGAACCATAAAACTCTCACCAAGCAAGCGCTACACAGGCACATGGCTCGACACAGGAGGGCCAACTCCTCAGGACAGGACTCAGCTGTTCGCCTACATCTGAAGTCTAAAGGACTCTCATTTGAAGACAACAACGTCCATATTCTGGCCAAGGAAGACAGATGGTTTGAGAGAGGGCTTAAGGAAGCCATTTTTGTTAACTTGGAAAAACCATCTCAGCAGAGGAGGTCTTTAGATAAAACCTTTCACCTAATTAATAAAGCTCTTTTAGGAACAATACCCAGAAGATTTACCTCCCCTCACCTGACTCACACTTCAATGAGGCATGCGACTGAAAAATTAACATTTCAGAAGGAGAAATCAGAGCCACCTTTTTTCGCCCTAATTCTTTATTCTACCTAGAGCATAGTAACCTCAGCGCTCCCCACCACTAGATAGAACTGAGGAAGCTTCTTAGATGAGAGACGAAACATCTTCTTCACGTCCAGTTGCCTAAACTGAACTTTTCAAGCCTCATCTCTTCGGTTTGCAACAGCCCTGCTATCCAATACGCACACCGTTTAAGATGCACCTGATCACAGCACAGTGAGATGCTCCGTGTGCCTTTTTCAGGGTTTATACATGAATGAGTAACTCTTATTTAATGCTTTTTAATCCTCTTTTAATGCTCTTAGAAAGAATTGTAATGCCGTTAACAAGTACTCATGACTCTCATATATATATATATATATATATATATATATATATATATATATATATATATATATATATATATATATATATATATATACACGGCAAAATCCTTCGTCATCCATGTCCCGAGTTCTTCGTTTTTCTGCCACTTTGGTTCAAATTTAATTTTTTCCCATTCTCTAGCCTTTTTTCCACCTCAAGCTTCTTTTCTAAAGCATTTTAATGCCACAATTATCAAATTTAATTAACTTTAATGCCAATTAAGGCCTTAATTTAAAAAATAATGATTTAATGACTTTTAATGATTTTTAATGACCCGCGGAAACCCTGTTTTAATTTTTTATTTTTAACTCAACTACATAAGGAGGCAAAAACGGGAACAGGGTCAATCTGCACATTCTCAGATATGGTAACTGAAACTAAAGCATCGAGATGTTAGGAGCTAAAGCAAATCTCACAGCTTCTGGATATTTGTGCTACATTTATAGCATTGTGAAAGATTTAGTTTAATGAATCAAATCAAAACAGCATCCAGAAAGCTCTTGAAGTGGGATATATTAACTGTAGGAGAAGTGAAAAGAACACGTGACAAATAGATCAAATCTAAGTCACATTATTAAGGGACCACTGTGAGTAACATCAGACATATATTAAAAACTTGCACATCTGATGTTGCACACTATGGTCCTCTGTGTACTCAGGGGGCTGGATTGAATGGCAAGTCACATGAAAAATTAGAGGGAGCATTGGTGGCAGTTAATATGTAAAGGTAGGAAAGGTGAATTTACCATGAAGAACTGGCAGAGGGTGATGTGAGGGAAGATGTTGTGGGCCTTGTTCTTCCCGCAGGAGAGGCGGGACTGCTTCCAAAAGTGGGAGAGCTGCTGCAGCAGAGGTCCGCTGGGCCGCAGGTACAACACATACTCTCTGGGCAAGGGGTCGTCCAGGAAGGGGTCGTCAAGATGGGAGAAGAGCCTGGAAACAACCAGAAACAGTGACGTTAGTGACAAGAAGGGAGATTTCATCCAGCAGATGGCAGTAACGAGATCCAAAGCATTACTTCAATGAAGGACTACAAATGTTAACTCTAAAACATCTGTTCTCCTGTTCTGGGTGTGAGAGAATGAGGGGTGATGTGTGTGTGCGTGTTGTTCTCACCAGTCGCACGCTGCCTGCACGTTTTTTCCTCCTGTTGAAACCAGAGCTTTCAATCTGCAACGAGACCGAGGGGGAGAGAGGGGAGATCAAAGGACGGTCACAAAATCAATGCTCTCTCTTTCAGACCAGCTGCGTTCGGCAGAGCTCGCATCATATCGTTCATGACAGCTTCAATACTGGAACCAGAGGGCTAGTCGAAGCAGATGATTCTGATTTCAATCAGCTTTGCTCTGTGTCGGGAAAGCTTTAATGGAATATCATTGTCAGGAAACTGCATCTGTTGGTTTGATTCATGCAGCTCGCTCTATGATTAAGTGATGACCACTTATCGGTTAGAGAATATCTAGGCCGAACCAACTCAATATCCTGTTTAATAATCCATTTTTCCATGCAATCCATTCTCCAGCAGATGGGTTCAGGTTTTTAATCCTTTTTTTCACGTGCAAGGTTCACCTTTACTTTACAATTTGCCTCAGAGCTTTAAGAAAAGAAGCTTTTTTTTTCATGCTTGCATTCATTATCTTATTGAAACTGCAGAGATCATCTGTGCTCTGCAAAGAGTCTAAAACCAGGACATTCATACAGAGTTCCACTAGGGATCCTCTACACTCATTATTTAATCAGACTAGAGGGTTTTATTAGAACCGGATGAAGGAAAGGCTTAATAAAGTAAAGAAAAGAACTCGGTGTGCTTTAAGTCCCTCTTAAAGCATGAAAAAACATTTTTCTAATCTTATAACACAAAGAGCCGTATACAGTTCAGCTTTTTGACCCGTTCCATTCCTGCATCATTGAGCTTTTATTGACTGACAACTCCTCTCCAGCCACGCCGACAGGAAAGGCCTACATAGTCGTCCTTTAAAAGGGCTACATCCTCTTCTCAAATGATGAACCATGAATCCAATTAACACGAACATGAGCTATTTTTATAAGCCGTCCTTCTGAGAGCTTTGCTCTCCCTACAGTCGCTTTGATTCCACAGCTAAATCAGCTCATATGTTCTCAGTTCTGGTTGGGGGATGTTTTAGTGCTATGGAGAAGGAAACAGTAAAGAAGTATACCTTGCAAATGGCTTTTATTTGCAGCCCACTTAAATAACAAAAATAAAAAATGAGTAGTGCATCACTGTGAAGTTAAATAAACTGTTCAGACAAACATCCGGATTCGTATGTATCACTGTTAAAGGCCACTCACGCTCACCAGCTCTCCCTCCATACTGTTAATTTAATACAACTAATTTACATTTTAAATGTTGACACGAATAATTTAATCATTTTTAAATAAAAATAATTAATGGGTTGATCAGTTTTATATATTTTAACGACTACGAGGACATACACCTACAAGTTTACACTTTTTAAAGGATGACCTTTCAGCTCATATTATTGTACAATTACGTGCATTTGTGCAAAAAAAAAAAAGTTTTAAATCAATTGTTTTATTGGATGGTGTGTTTTAGTATACTTGCTAAAGTACTGAAAAATTTTTTAACGACTCCTTAAACATGATAATACATTTTCAATCTGTATTTATTTATTTATTTCAGTTATATTTCTTTATTTACTAATGCTTTTTTTATTTATTTATTTCTTGATGAATTGATTTATCTAAGTATGAAATATTGTCTCCTTTAGCCTTCCATAGAATGTGTTCAAAGGTCCTCCTATCCAATTTGACTGAGCTTAAACTGTTTTACACTGAGGCAGAAAGGTTAGACGTTCTTTTAATGTTATTATCATCTAATAAGTGTGAATACTTGTTAAAGTATATGTGAAACTATACCTCTAGGTTGATTCTCCTGTGGAAGATGGATTTGCTGAATAGCTAAGATTAAAAAGAAAGAACAAAAGGTGACAAAAAAATCCGCAGCAACAAACCTTTTACCCCCAGGTTTAAAGCCATGCACCCAAATAAGCAGCGACTTTGAGTTTTTGGTCACGGTGCCGTCCTGCGTCCTGCACCGTCCGCCCAGCTGAACGGTGCAGGACGCCTCGACCTTCTCTGCTCTGTTCTATGATTAATGTTTAGATCGTTCGTTTTCGGGCCTCCATTATTCAGATATGAAATAAACAATTAACCAACAGCAGTGATGGAGACCGCAGCTGAACTCTGGGCCATGCTGCTCCTTCTCCTTTCAGCAGCGCTTTGTGCATTGTGTGAGAACAAGGCAACGGCCAATAAACGGCCCATTCATGGCATCAGCAAACAGAAACACAAACCGTTATATTACCACCATGTTTGCTCCTAAATGATAACCTCACTGTTCCAACAACATCATGAGCAGCTCTTAATACCAAACCAGTTGTTTCCCACACAAATGTACAGCCTTTTGACTTTTTTTATTAATGCAACCTCTCTGTGTGAGACGGCGCTGATGGTGCTTGTTGTGGCCCCGTTTGTGTTTAAACTCAAAGAGCTATTTTTATATTTGTCCCACAGAGAAGGTCCTAGATACGGAGGAGTCCCTGAACCCCGAGGCAGAGCGCTCCGACACGCCGCAGTAGGCCATGACCTGGTTGATGGGATTGTGGAATATTGCTCCCCTTCTACACCAATGAGAAGGAAACAAACTGAACCGCTCTGCTGCGTTCATACACGACATATCATCCAACTGACCCAGTTCCTAAACCCTGGATCAGAGGAGAGGACTTAACATGAGGAGCCATTCGTAGGGAACAATCGCCTTATAAGAAGATTCCACCTGGTATTGTGAGGAGGAGGAGGAAACCCCCCCACACACATCCTCTCGTCTTTTTTATTTCAGAAGGGATTATGGGATTACAAGCAGATGTGACTGAGGCTTCATAAAATCCAATCTGAGCTGGAACATCCGATTGTATGCATCTTATCTTTGTTCAAATAAAACCTCATGACACGAAACATTACAAAGGATCTTCGGCATGTTTGCTGTGCAAATACAAGAACATCGTGCAGCACGGCTGGAATTTTGATCGGATCGTTGTGGTTTTTTTAAAGACACTAAGGTTAAAACCACACAGCTTCAGCCTGCTGTTGGCTTGTCAGTTTTTATGGTTTAATAATAAAATATTCTGTGTGGTACCACACTTTTAGTGACCGTTACAGGAGGATCAGACAAGTGAGATGTTTCTTCTACCATGCAAGAAGAGGATGCTGCGTAAAGCGCCAGGAGCTCACTGCTTGCAGACCATCAGTGTCGACATAAACTTTGATCTCTTGACAGCTGCTGAAAAAAGTGCATCAAGTAAAAAGATCAAAGTCGGAGAGCAACAGCGACGCCCGCCTGCCACTGCATCCTGTTGTGTCACGCAGATGTACACTCAGCCTCTCATCGATGTTTGAAGCCACACAGGACTTTAAATCTGCTGTTAACAGAATGCTCTGATTTTCCGAGGGTAATGATGCAATAATGAGCCTAAATATCATTTCAAGTTGGTTTTTTTTGCCTTCATAAAGGTTTCAACAAAATGGAGCGTAAAGGATACATGTTGCTCAGTAGTAAAAATGCTGATATCTGAGTGAATGTGAGCGAAACCCTCAGACGAACAGATCAACTTGTCTTACTTGATTTTTGCCATTAAATCTGTCTTATTTTGAAGTAAAACCTTATTTGTATGATTAGAAAGGTGCATCCAGGTAAGAATGGAAAGTAACCATTGTGATTGTGAAACATTAGTTACTGTGGATTCATTGGTACCAAGAAAAACAGAAGGGAAACTTCTATTAAAGTGCTTTTTTCTTTCCTCTCTTTTTTTCTACAAATTTCTTTACAAACAAAGAACAAATTACAAAGCCAACAATTTACAATTTTAACCCCTTTTTTGAGTCTCATTCATTTCACCTCTTCTGTATGCAGCCGAACCCTCTGGCCCAATATTTACGTTCCTATACATCAATTCTTGCCAAGGCAAAACATGCTATGAGATCTTTTAAGTAACAAACGTCTTACCCAATCACAAACATGTATCCTACCAGGAAAAATAGCATCTACGTCTGCATTCTGAGTCCCTTTCCTTCCATAGGTCAGCGCCAACACGTGGGTGCTGCTAATCATTCATTTGGAATCATTGGAATCAAAAATCATTAAACATGCTAATCTTAATTTCATGGACAGATTAAGCCATCTCCATGTCTTGTGACTTAAAATGGCTATTAGTTATCAGGCTTCTCCCCTACGGAACCAGCTACCAGTTTTAGACCATGAGGCAGGCATCCTGTCTACTTTTAAGGCAAGGCTTAAAACTTTCCTCCCTGATGAAGCTTATAGTTAGAGGGGCTCAGGTTATCCTGAGCTATCTTTATAGCTATGCTGCTATAGACTTAGACTGTTGGAGGACGTAAAGACCACTTTCCTCTCTCTGATTTATTCCATCTCTATCACATTTTGCAGTATTTGTTAGATCACCTTTTAACTTTTTGTTCTTTCTGCTTTTTCTCCTCATAGAGGCTTCATCTGTTCTGTTTAGCTGTGACACCATCCTGGAGAGAAATATCAGCTGGGCTCCTATCACCAACACCTACGATTATAGAGAGTTGGACCTGTTTTTCAGTGTTTACTACTGTTTCTCTTCTAGACATTGCTATGGGCTCAACTTTTACTGTGACTAAATCGATGTGCTTTCTTTCGTCCCTTTTGCATAAAAATTGGCTCAGCACTTGTATGATTAATCATTTCTTTCTTCTACAGAGCCACATATGGAGGTAGTTTACCGATATATTTTATATATATATAAAATATTTATGTATCACTGCTTCTTTGTTCCTTTTGTAAGCTGTTTCTCTCTCCTTGAACTGCAGTGGGACTCGGAACAAGGCAGCTCACACTGAGCCTGGTTCTGATTAAGGTTTCTTCCTGTTCAAGGGGAGTTTTTCCTCTCTACTGTCACTGCATGAATGCACAGTGTGAGGGAATGCCACAGAGGTAATGATACAAAGCTAGTGAATACTGTCGCCACATGCTCATCATGGATGGATGGATGGATGGATGGATGGATGGATGGATGGATGGATGGATGGATGGATGGATGGATGGATGGATGGATGGATGGATGGATGGATGGATGGATGGATGGATG